ATCCCCAGTAGGGGGTGTGCAGGAGGCAGCAGATCGATGTTTCTCTCTCATCGATGTTTCTAACTCTCTACCCCCCTCCCTTCCTCTCTGTAAAAAATCAATAAAATATATTTAAAAAAAAAAAAAAGAAAGTTAGTATGTAGCAACACAGAGAAACAGCTTCAAAATGGTCACCACTTCAACTAACACTCCCCCCCCTCCACCAAATAAGAGCAGCAAAGGCACATGACTATGAGCAAATCCACATTTATTTCAACGCCATGTCGTTTTCAATTTAAAAACCTCCTAAGTTAGCAGGGAGCCCTAGTTCCCTGGGACAGCATGCCAGAGGTACTGAATGAAATTCATCACCTTTCTCTCCAAACCCCTAGCAATTCATCCAATTCAAGTCCACACAGCGTAGAAAGCCAGGAGTTGTCTCTTCAGTCAGTCTGCTCCTCTGGTTCCTGGTTTTTCTTTCAAGGGAGGGAGGTCAAAATGTTTCAAATGGGGAACAAAACCGCAGTTGAGCTTTCAGCTCAGGTTTGTAAGATGGAGCAAGGGAAGACCCTGCTGACTCCAAAGAAATGGACCGGTTAAAATGAATTCCTCCTTTACAGTTTTTTGTTTTTTTTTGGTTTTTTTTTTTTGGGGGGGGGGGGTCCTACAGAACAAAAATGACTATAAAGATTTAAAAATGAGGATCCGTTTCATAGATGAGAATCCCTTGGTAAGTGCAGGCTCCAGCTCCTAAAAAAAAGGAGGGGCCTGACCAGATAGCCTGGATCAGAAAAGGAACCTACCACATGTGAATAAAATAATCTGAAGAACAGCTCCTCTCTACTTTGAGGCCAGATAAAATACTTATGGAGAGTGGGAAAAGAGAGGAACAAGCCCCAACAGAAGAGAAAATGCTGACATCAGAGTGTATAAAAATTTCAGCTCAATCTTTAATGGTGGTAGCTCCTTTAGCCTCCTCCCTGTTTTGTTGTAGGGCCATAAACCTTTACCAAGCAGACAGTAGTAGAAAAAGGCTAGAAAGAGGGGCTTGAAGACGATGGATTTTGATTCCTGATTTTATTGTTCAATTTCTCTTTTCTAGTTAAAGTAGTCTTCGGTGGCTGGGAAGCCTGGCCTCCCAAGACCAGAGTCAGTTGGAGCTGGTTCTTGTTGGAAGGGGGTTGGGTTGGGGGACTGGATGGGGGCAGGGAGACCCCTGATCTGCTGGCGGTCCTGGGTGGAGAAGACGAACTGCACTTCACAGAGCCTGGGGTGTGGTGGGAAGGGGATGAGGCAGGAGCGGCTAGCTGGGGAGATGGGACCCACCTCAGTCCCCAGCTTCATTCTCTTCTAATGTTTCCCCACTGGTGGCATTCTCTGCAGTCTTGGAGGCCTATATTCATGGAAAGAAGATGGAAACATGTAAATTTCCTTGGGGTAGTGTTTGGGGGACCAAGAACAAAAATGTCCTAATTCTCTAGGTCAGGCCTAAGAAGGGGGGAAATAAGGATATACAAAAATCTATGCCCCACCACAACCCAGGAAGGTGGAATAAAAAGCGATGAGGTTCAACCTGCCAAAGAGGGATAACAACACACCTTCTTTTTTTTCTTTTTCTGGGTTTTCCGACTTGCAGAACTCTGGAGGAGGGCCTGGGAAAAAAGGAAGAAGGAAAACAAATTTTGAGGACTTTGGAGAAAACAGTCTTACTTTCAACACTGTACCTGTTTTTCAGGACTTTGCTTACATTTAGTCCTCACTTTCAGGACAGGTTCCATGTGCTCAACCACTTTCCAGCCCACACTAACCTTTAGCTCTGCATCCTGGACCTCCTTGTCAGACTTGTAAAGGTCAGGCTCAAAGGGACCACTGGTTATCCGCATGGGGCCATTGGGCATCAGCAGAACTGTAAATTTAAACTGGGCAACAAATTCGCCTATGGGAGAGAGAAGTGTTTTGATAAAATGTTCCCTTGTTGTATCCTTTTTTCTATAAGCTATAGGGAAAAAGAAGGGAACCATATAACCAGTTCCAAAGTGAAACTCTCCTTTTAGAACTTACCCTCCTTCTCATAGAGAACATTAAATGGCTGCAGCAGTTCATGTTTGGCGCATTCCACCACACCCATCCGGGCCTTCTTCTCATCTTCAAATGCTCTGGGTAGGGGAAGACAAACTCAGGTATCCTTAACTCCCTCTCAAGTCTCATCATTTTGCTCATGCTTTTAAATAGATCCTACCCTCAGGCAGAAATCATGCTTAGGATTGCTCTTTTATATTCCCTTCAATGAGGGAGATAGGGAGCATAAGAGAACCCTTGCATGCAGGCTGGTGCTACAAGTCCAGGCAGGAGGGGAGGGGGAGGCAGGGAGGAGTGGAGGAGGGAATAGTATTCCTGGGTGTGTGGTCTATGAGTCACACCAGTTCCAAGCCCTAGCCTTGTGAAGTGCAGTATACCTTAAAGTAAACGGCATGGCATCAAAACGCCTCTCAACCTCACTGAAGAAGGCACGTGAAGTTTTCATTTTCAGGCCATATTGTTTAGAAGGATCTCGTTTATAAATGGTGGTTCTCTGTCCTGCGTCCTTGGCCTAAAAGAGTAAGTTAGGTCACGTTTGTTCAGGTGCCCCTGGAACAAACCCTCAGCCACCCCTCGTTGCTAGCTCTGTAAACACTCCTCACCTTGCCCTCTCCTGAGCTGACGAGAACGTCCACAGCATATACTTCATGTACCTCAAATTCAGCTTTCTCGTGGTCCTTCCTGAAAGGAATAAAAAGGGAACAGCCATAAGTAGTTCCTGAGTTTGGAGTTAGGCTGGAAGTACAGAAGAAAACATTCATGACGAGTCTTGTATGGTGGAAGGTAAGGGTGGGATTGGCACCTACTTCTGCTGGTCTGTGGGATTCTGGATAATGGTTTTCTCTCCATCGATGACATGCTGCTTCAATTGGTGTGACAGCATACCTGTGGAGAGGACAAAGCTTATGGTACCAACCATCCAGAAGCCCAAAAGGTTTCCAAATCCACCCACGTAAATAGTTTGATGAGGCGGGCAATGAGAGAAAAGCACCTGGCTATAAACTAAGGGCACTGAGGTTTTTGGCTTAGACTGTGCTAGAGCCAGGATGGATTCTCAAGGAAAGAAAACAGCCTTAATTATGCTAAATCACTGATACTTTATACCCTCAACCCTGTTATCTGAGGTCTCACCTTCTATTGGCGTGCAATTAAATGAATGGGCAACTTTGTTCCAGGCTTCGGTCACTTGTGTGTTCTAGAAGTACAAGATCAAATAAAAGGTGAGATACCAGGGGCTAATAAGTTCTCTACTGTGTGAATAAGAAGCATAAAGAACTGAGAGTACATCAAGTACAAGGGATTCTCACTGGTGTTTCATGTCATAGCCCTATCAATCCCTACAATCTAAACATACCTTATACTTGCATCTCCTTTTACAAAGAGCTTTCACAAAGATGGGTCTAATTCAGTGATGGCGAACCTTTTGAGCTCGGCGTGTCAGCATTTTGAAAAACCCTAACTTAACTCTGGTGCTGTGTCACATATAGAAATTTTTTGGTATTTGCAACCATAGTAAAACAAAGATTTATATTTTTGATATTTATTCTATATATTTAAATGCTATTTAACAAAGAAAAATCAACCAAAAAAATGAGTTTGCGTGTCACCTCTGACACGCGTGTCATAGGTTCGCCATCACTGGTATAATTAAACAATTCTGGAAGGTGAACAGGGCAGATCTATACCCCAATCTAGAAGAGGAGGAAA